TTTATTTCCTCCTTCTAACAGCTGCACCGTTGTTCCAAACACTGGTTTATTTCCTCCTTCTAACAGCTGCACCGTTGTTCCAAACACTGGTTTATTTCCTCCTTCTAACAGCTGCACAGGTATTCCAAACACTGGTTTATTTCCTCCTGCCGAGAGCTGCACAGGTGTTCCCAACACTGGTTTCTTTCCTCCTGACAGCTGCACAGGTGTTCTCAACACTGGTTTCTTTCCTCCTTCTAACAGCTGCTCAGGTGTTCCTGACACTGGTGTCCTTCCTCCTCCTGACAGCTGTTTCCAGACAGGTGTTTCCAACACTGACTGAGATTTGGAATTAGATAAATAGCCACTGCTCCATTGTTCATCAGAAACATTACGTTGATTATAGTCTACAAGAGAAAAAGCATGTATTAAGTTGAAAAGTTATTTTCCATCGGTGCAATTTACAGGAATCTCAACTGCTGAACTGTTTTTAGTAGAAAGAAACCTCCAAACTTCTGATAGGAATCCAAGTAGTAAACAGTACTGCAGTCAGGCACCTGGTCCAAACTCCCCCCACCTGCATTAGTGCCCTCCTACACCTCTGGTGGGATCACTGCAGTGCACAAAGGAGAACCTGACACCATAGTCTGGGAAGATATTTTTCTTCCACCTAAAGCCTTAGTCAGTTACCTTCTCTGATAACCCGCTCAGTGGCAAATTTATAAACTGAACCTCTTCATGGCAGAAAGTAATGACAAATGAAGAAAAGAGTCTTGCAAATACGACAATATTTTGCTTTGCATACCATTCTGTGGAGATACTTTAGACTCCCCTCCCAAAGATGAGGTATCAACAGGTTGTCCTTCGATGTTATCCTTCTTTAATAACATTTCAAAGTGTACGTGAAGAGGAGCATCTAATAAAAAAACCAAAAATCCAGATGGGATAGGGTCTATATCAGAAAGACACAACCTCTGAGACAATGAATTATGCATCATCACTAAAAGTCTAGGAATCGATTCGCACAGCACTGTATAATATAATCCTCAACTCCTGAAGAATGGCAATGCTCACTCAGCAACTCCCATGAGGACACACCACTTGTCAAGCTGGAGAGAATAGAGGAAAACATGTCCTGAAACTGGTGAGACCAAAGGAAAACTTGATGGTCATACCCTAGCCAGACATTTCAAAGTGATTTTTGCCTAAGTAAAAGAAAATTCTCAGCAAGATAATTCTCAGCAAGTTAGTTACTACATGAATGTTCTTCTGCACTAGAGGTGAGCAAAGGCATTTCCTCTCAGTTATCTGAGATCTGTACATGATAATCTCCAGTAACTGCATGGAGGTGAAAACTCCAGATACCTGTCTTTGTAGTACCAGCAAGTGAGAGTTAGGACATGGTAAAAACAAATCCATTTTTAGCTGTGAAGCCACACTGCTGTGTGTGCTGACCACAGCAGTATGCTGAAGTGGTTCCAGGATCTCCAGCACTAAGAGCCTCTAAGGGCTGATACAACAACTCAGGGCAAGGTAGGACTCAAACCTAAGGAATGAAACAAGCTCTAGAAGGTACTGAACGAGAACAAGACTGGGGTCTTCCCCTTGCAACTCCTCCACAAAACCCAGCACAGTGGAGAGCACACAGGCACTTTACCTGTAATCTGAAGATGCTTTGGTTCAGCCTTTTGGGTACAAGTAATTAATGCTTTTGGAAGTAGTTGTTGCTGGGAGCCTAGAGGCACATTCCTTCTCTCTCTCTCCCTAGACAAGGCTGCAGCAGAGCAAGATAATTCATTTCCTGATGGGAGTTCTAAACCAGAATTAGCCTACAAAACATCTCAAGTGCTAAGGAATTTACCCCCTGCTGTAAGACAGGAAGGCTTAAGAAAAATAAGTCTCTCTCTGAAAAGTCTTTCCAGAAAAAAATGTACAAGAACTGACAGAAATTAAATAGCAAAAAAAATTTTAAAAATTCAATGCAACACTACAGCTTGACAACTAGGACATTCAGAATGGGAAGGGAACTGAGGGCAGGGCCCAAGGGTGGACATTAAACTACTTGTATTTACACACAGCCTTAGCCTTAAGTGCCTTCAGGACGTGGCAAGACAGAAACTTTCAACATATTTTGCTAACTAAGAAGAACAATTTATTTCAGTTCGATATGGATCTATAACTTGGTATTTTGTCACAACACCCCTAGATTTTTGCTGCATTTCCTACTCTACTTCCAAGTAAAACATGAAGAAGGTCTGAAAGGTAAATTAGATACAACACTTAAGTATGTCTCCTGCGTTGTTTTTTTTTTTTTTGTTGGTGTTTGTTTCTGATTTTTGTTTGTTTGTGATTTTTAACTTGGGGAATCACCTGGATATGCCAGAGATTTTTTTCATTATGTGCGCATGTCTCTTAACTTAAAGGGCAGGAGTGCTTATTTCAATGTCTGTACAAGCTGGGTGCAGAAATACCAGCACCCCAAACTTCTCAGATACAAACTACGATTTTGCAGCTATCAAGATGGAGGTTTAAAGAGGAGCTTTTATGTTCAAGGGATGCTGCAACCACTGACATATTTTGGGTTGAGATCCCTGGTAATTTGGAAACTGTGAAGACCAGACTTAGACATGGGGACAATTATGCTTCCAGGAGAGAGTACACTAGTGAACCAGACCACTACGCTATTTACTAGGTTGTCTGCAAATTATGATTCACCTTTGAAAGCAAAGCACAAAAGAGTATTTTGAAAAAACCAGGGTGAGAGAACTATAATTGAGCATTGAACTTGAATCCCTCCTTGCACACTAAAAAAAAAAAAAAAATTTAAAAAAAAAAAAAAAAAAAAAATTAAACCCCCAAAGTCCCATAAACTCCCATAGTTCCAAAATGAAAAAAAGCCAATAATATCTTTTTAACACCCAGAGAAAATGAAAACAAAACCCTTTCCTTTTACTTTGCTGACAGTTTTGGGTTTTTATAAAGATGTGGGCACAACACAAGTCATATTTTAAAACAAGTTATTCCCCTGGAAGGGGATAATCAAGAAAGCTGCAAAGGAAACATGAAACTGAATTAGGCTACAAGTTGGAAAATTTTCTTCCAAATGAAAGGTAGACACAGCGAAGTACACAAGGCACTGAGTAAAGCCTGAATTTCACCTCCCTCAAAAGCAAAGACTGCATCTGAGCAGGATGGGTCTAGTACTTTTTACCTGTCACAGTGGTTATTAGCAAGGCTAAGGCTCCTTGAAAAGAGAATAAATATTCCTCAAGAAAGATGTTCTTGATATTGGAATGAAGCTAAAAACATTTTTCTTCCTCCACCCTGGCAAAGTTACCAACAGTAGCCACAATGTAATCCAAAGCTTTTTACTTTTTTTGTGATAAAGCTTTTTTTTTGAGAAAAGAAAATGTCAATATTCCTGTTACACTTCCCAGTCTCCCCTGAGAGGAAGGTAAGAATGAATGCAAGGGGTATAGCCTTATATGACTGTCCTTGCAGAGACTTCTAACCCCTCTGGCTCCTGTCCAGCTGTCAGAGTCACAGGAGAGCACATGTAAAGAAGAAAGATTCAGGACGTGTTTTTCTGTTTGCTCTTGCACTCTTGGAGTGAGTGTTCTGTTTCTTCTATCTGCTTCTCACACTAATCTACCCTGTACCCCATATGTGAGACACAAACCCACAAGAGTTGCGACCTTCCAGGGATTCCATGTCCACATTTGGGTCTTCTCTACTGACCAGTGACAAGTTCTCCAACCCCAAGACTTAGGCTAACTCCTGATTTCCTAATACCAGGCTGCAGTGCCTACACTGTCATTCCGTGGGCTTGATCAAAGATCCAGACAGTTCCACGGAAGTCCCAGCCTCGTGTTCAGGATCATTTTGTGGCAAAGAAGCTCCCCAGAACAGCACAATTCCTGTACCTGGAAATAGGTTTATCCTAAAACCTATCTTGCGTGTTGGCAAAAAGCACCATCTCCAGAGGACTAACACTGACTCGACACACCATGAAACACCCAAACCCACCTCTTTCCTGACCAGAGTTCCTAGGTTATATTACCAGTATAGGAAACCTACAAGGTGTGTTTTTCCAAAGTAAGGATGAAGTTAAAATTTTCATTTAGTCTAAACTCCTGTATGGTGGCCGGTCGCTAGTGGTGTTCCCCAAGGGTTAGTGCTGGGCCCAGTTCACTTTTATATCTTTACTGATGGTTTGGATGAGGGAATTAAGTGCACCATCAGCAAGTTTGCAGATGACACAAAGTTGGGGGGGAGTGTCAGTCTGCTGAAAGGCAGGTGGGCTCTGCAGAGGGACCTGGACAGGCTGGAGAGATGGGCTGATTCCAACGGGATGAGGTTTAACAAGGCCAAGTGCTGGTCCTGCACTTTGGCCATACCAATCCCATGCAGTGCTCCAGGCTGGGGACAGAGTGGCTGGAGAGCAGCCAGGCAGAAAGGGACCTGGGACTTTGGATAGACACAAAGCTGAACCTGATCCAGCAGTGTGCTCAGGTGGCCAAGAAGGCCAATGGCATCCTCGCCTGGATCAGGAACAGTGTGGTCAGCAGGACCAGGGAGGTGATTCTGCTCCTGTACTCAACACTGGTGAGGCCACACCTTGAATCCTGTGCTCAGTTCTGGGCCCCTCAGTTCAGGAGGGACATTGAGGTGCTGGAGCAGGTCCAGAGAAGAGCAACGAGGCTGGTGAAGGGACTGGAGCACAAGTGCCATGAGGAGAGGCTGAGGGAACTGGAGTTGTTTAGCCTGCAGAAGAGGAGGCTCAAGGGAGACCTTATCACCCTCTAAAACTCCCTGACAAGATGTTGGAGTCAGGTGGGGGTTGGTCTCTTCTCCCAGGCAACCAGCAGGAGGACAAGAGGGCACAGTATTAGGAAGACATTTTTTAAATTTTTTTACAGAGAGAGTAGTCAGACATTGGAATGTGCTGCCCAGGGAGGTGGTGGATTTACTGTCCCTGGAGGTGTTCAAGATGAGACTGGATGTGGCACTTAGTGCCATGGTCTAATAATGATGGTAGGGTTGGACTTGATGATCTTTGAGGTCTCTTCCAACCTGGTTGATTCTATGATTTGCCAGTGTGAGATTTTCTGGTAAGAGAACTAAGTTCTAAACACCACTCAAAAGAAAAGATAGTCCATAACCCCTACAAGCACAAGCACCCTTAGAGTCACAGTGTCACTTACCTGAAGGGAATGATAAGACTGGATGGAAGGAAGAGTCCACCTCTTTCACATATTCTAGGATGTTAGATCCTGTGCTGGGCCTACTGCTGCTCCAAGCAGAGGCTGGCACCACACGTGGGAACCGAGTTCTACATGGGCAGTGAAGTCTACATGGGCAGCAGACAGTTGTAGGTGACAAATTCTGCAAGAATACACAGAAACACAGGTTAACTTCTCTTCTACTTCCATTCTTCAAATTAGACCAGAAGAGGAAAAAAACCCAACAAACCAAAACTCAGTGAGTGACACTCCTTAATATGTGAATGGGAAAACTATTCCTACAAAGTACATATGACTTTCCTCTAACTTACTGTGGACCTCAGTGCACAACACAAAGAATACAACCTCCCCTTCAACTAGTGCCAGGAAACAGCTGTCAAAGCTTTCAGAAGAAATTTCACTGTTTCCAATTATTATTTTGATCTATCCTATGACAAACACCCCTTAAATTTAATTCCAGCACAACAGACATGATATAGTGCACAAACCTAACACCAGACTAAACAGAGGTGTCTCCTTAGTACTCTTAGTCATAGTAAGAGTCTTAGTGTCAATATCCCTAGACAGTCTGAGCTCATACATTTTAATGCAATAAACTATATTAAGCACTTTGAGCACACTGTGTACTTACACAAAGCAAGAGGGCAAAGTCTTTACCTTGTTATAATTTAAACATCAGACAAGCAGCACAAAAGACACACAGCAATAAATACAGAGAAGGATGCATTAAGAACTGATTAGTAAGTATTAAGAGGAATTACTAGAAAGAGGAGAGATGCAAAGAAAGATTAATTTAGCAACTTATTTGCAAGACTTTTTAAAGCATGGAAGGCAAAATGATGGATAGCACAGAACTGGTAGGTGTGAGGTAGCAGGGGAAAGGCAAGCTAAAAATGGACAAGAGTAAGAAGCAGAGTGCAGGTGACACACTGAGCTCTGAAAGACAGAAGGAAAGAACTGAATGCGATGCTACAAGAAAGCAGCAAACAGCAGTCTATGCTTCAGAATGAGCTACAAAAGTGCTGCTGGGAAATAACGTTGCTTAAGCTACTTTCAGTCTTTCTGGATCCTAGTGGTAGCAACCCCAAAGATACTGACATTTTTAAAGGTTTCTATAGGTTTTTGATACTTTGCCAAATGCTGCAGATCCTGCAGTGGGGAAGGGAGAGATAGGGGCACTGGGGTACTTCAAGAGTCACAGCCTACCACTGTGCAAACAGGCACATTTATCATCCCCTGGAAAAGAGTTCCAATGTAAAAAAATGTAAGAATTAATTAACATTTTCTTATCACTATTTCCAGAATGAAAGGAAAACATCTAGCAGTTGCCTGAAAGGCAAGACCACCAAAGAACATTACTTGTATTTTCAGTACTTCTGCTTTCCAAGTCCAACAAATCTCTTCAGCTGCTTCCTCCCGCCTGAAATATTCCAGGCTGTATTCTAGCAGTGCCACTTGTGTTAGTGATGCAGTGATTATATCCACCACAAAAAATGCCCCTCCACTTACTGAAATCAGTCCTTCTGTCAGGTGGCATCAGTATTCACAACCCACAGTACCTCAGAGAATATTCCATTACAAAGTTCCCCTTTCCATCTCTGCCTTTCTTCTCAATGAACAATTTCCCTAAGCTGGTCTGTATCTCAGGAACTATTAAAATCAAGTAAGCATGTTATGATGCTGGAGAAGAGAAGACCTTGTGATGGTGGTGGGGTTCTTGTATTTAACTCCCTCAAGGAAAGCATTAAGAGTCCCAAACCCACCCTGATCTCCAGACACAGTTGTACGCACAAAGTACTTTCAACTCCACATGGAAAGGATTCTTTTCTAGCCCAGGACTCCTTCAAATCAATTTTCTGTTATTTTCCTGTGACAGACATATGGGACTCTTCATCTGTTAATCTTTAAACATCATGAAGTGTTGGCAGAACTGGGACCTGTGTTTGGGAACACTAGAGGGATAAATGCTAAAGTGAATGTAATGCTTCCCATTATATGGACCATTAAACCAAAGCTTGAAGAGCTTTTACGTTGTTGCTCAAAATGCGCACAAAAGCACATTTCCTCTTAGTTTCTAGAAATGAAGTAGCTTACTGAATCTCTGCTGTTTAAGCTGCAACTGCACCACTTCTGCTTGCCCTTTTTATTTTTACAGACATGAATCCACATTACAGTCAACAAATCTCTCATGCTTTAAAAAGCAAACCCCAAACACTAATCAGTAGTATCACCTAGAAAATACAGGGATAAGACCAACATATTCTGACATCCAGGCCTTTTGTCCTGGCTCACTTTTTCTAGCCCCAAACACATTTAGATTATACCTTACAGCTCAGCCTGCTCACACGGTCGAACAACCTCCACAGTCACAACCTATTTTGAAACGGTAATAAAATCCCTTTGCCAATTTCAGGAAACACAAAATTCTTCATATTGCCTGTGACAGGAATTACAAAACTGAATTTGTGTGTTAGTGCTCTGGCATCAACACCTAAGTAACAAAATCTTCCACTGAGCCAGTTTGCAATCCAAATGAAAATAGACTTCTACAGAGGCAACAGCAATTTTAGTTAAATGCCTGTGAAGCTACTAGAAAAAAAGGCTAAAAAAACTGCCAGTGTCTGTGTTCCTAGGTACTGGATCTGGTTTAAATTTCTGATGGAGTAGTTTTCCACTGGAAAATGCTGAATTAGCGAAAACGTGATGTTTGTCAGGAACGTCAACTTAATCAGCTCTTGATGAAAAAATTTCAGGAGCCCTTTGCTCTGGAATGACAGCTTGGTGCTCAGTCAAAGAAAGTGCTTCAACCTTACTGAATCAAAACTGAACAACTGTTTATTGGAAAACTAAACCCTCCCTGCTTCCAATTCCGAACAGATCACAGTCTACAATCCAACTGCCTTTTACAGCAGTAAGTAATTGATTTTTTAAGCACAACAACAAAAGAATCCACCAAATCCCAACTGAAAACCCACAAATATATCCATTCAGCCACAGGAATGACAAGAGGTTTCAGGAAAACCATGGCACACAGCCTCTGGAAGACAGGCCCCTAATGCAAGCCTGACCACAATGCCAACCCTTCAGAGGGCAAGAGATTGCTAAACTCATATCAGTTTTCCCTCTGCTACACTATACCTTGTACATCTCCTGAAACATTTTTCTTCATTACTGAAACACAAACCCTCATGCTTCCTGAGCTCTAGCAGAAATGAAGACTAATATTACATTAAACTCATTCTATTAAGGAAAAGAAAATACACTGTATTTGAGTGGAAGTCAGGAGTGTGTAATCTTTAAATATTCAGCTAAAATAGCAGCTCTGGTTTAAACTTCATAAGGAATGGTGTCAAACAACTGAATCTAATTTTCTAGAGTATTATGAATTTTAAACTTGGATTTTCCCCCCTTAGTACTGTCTTGCTGTGCTACAGAAAATACAGTGAGCAATTTATTTTGAGATGCAAAACAACTCTTGCACTTGCTTGTGACAAACTGATGCATTAGACAAAGCACCACTGGCTCAGGTCTCTGTTCTTGAAGGGTCAGAAGGCTGAACACTGGCCATCCCACCCTTCTGCAGAGACAAAAGTGTGAGCCTACAAAGTGTGCCATAACTGAAAACAAAAATATTTTATGCTCCCAGTTAAAAACCTCTGAAGTGAATACTTGCTTCATGGTTTCAGCTACTGATCACAAACTCCTACCATTTTTGGAAACAAGCCTAAGTGTAACAGTACAGAGAGCCACAGTTCAATTATGCCACTGTGTATGAATCCAGTAAGTTAATTAAGTTAGTTCAAAACACTCTGCTGAATACCTGTCACGTCTGCTCCTGATTACTCTTATTAAGCCCAAAAAGGCAAGGAAAATGCATTTATTCTCCTTAAAGACACATTCTCAGAACTTTCCAACAATATTAAAGAAGAGCTATCCCCCTCAATATTATAAACCGTTCTTCTGTAGATGGGCAGACAACTAATCTTCAAGAGATTTAATTATGGGATCCAAGAGAACCATGGTGTGGGTGGCTGAAGACTCCTCTTTGAACACCAAACACACCAGCTTTTAATCCTGTGTACAGCTCAAGCTAATAGAGCACCACATTATTCACTTGCTTCAGTGCTTTAGTATCTGCCTTAAAGGCCAGCCCACTTCTCTGTGGCCTCCCTCTTCTGCACCCAACAACCAGCTCTGAGCAGGGCTGTGTCCCTCTGGCAGAACATACAGTTCCATGAAATGTCTTACTTCACAAGGCAAACACCCAGGATTTTGGTGCAGAGTGCTTTTGGGCAATGCACAATATATGGACAGTGAAAGGTTAATCTGAAAGCCCTAAAGACCTTCTCTCCTGTCATCAGGCAGTGGGAGAGAAGGTGGGAAAAGCATCTAAGCCATCCCTGCATGGGAAGGTGCACAACAGATGGTGCTGACATACATACCACATGACAACCTCTCCCTTCCAGATGAAGTTTCTATAGATGTCAAATGGACAGACCTTTCCCATGCAGGTCAGGCACAGAGAAGCTGCACTGGGAGGTAAACAAATTCATCCGGCCCTGGCCCCTCTGAGGCTGTGTGTAAGGATAAAGTGGCAGATCCTGTCAGAGACCAGTTTTGCCAGGAAGAGAACGGAGATCTTCATAAAACACTAATGACAGCTCACTCAGCATCCTGTTTGTCCCAAATTCAGATTCTTCAGTCAGTGTCCTAAAAAGCAGTAGGTCACTGAGAAGAGACCATCACTTCTCCTAAGTACACATGGAGTTTAGTTCCTTTAATCCTGTGCAAGTCAATGGAAGATGGACTTTCACTTGCTCTGTGGGAAGTGCATGCTATTCTCTACATCCTGAAACAGAGACTTTTTGTTCAACTAGCAAATCAATGAGAAAATAGAGGTTAGTTTAATCTTTGACCAGTTAAACCAGAAGAAAGACAGACACGTTAATCCACAGGGATATCCTCAAAAATGCCATATAGGAATTAACAGTAGATGTGATCTGTAAAACACTACAGAAATGCCACAATGAGCTAAGGAGGAGGACTGTGTGCAAAGCACACAAGTTTTTCACTCCAGAAAAAAAATCACAGGCTGACTGGCTTGCCACAAACCTCACCAAAGATGGATCTAGTTTCACAGTCAGGATCACAGTATCACAAAGCCAAAGGTGTTGTCCCTTCCTTCCTCCCCAGTAGAAAAAAAGTCAGGTCAGAATTGCTGAATGCATAGAAACTCTTTTCCCACTCAGGTTTCATTGATTTTTAAACTAATAGAAGACCTTTATTAACCTCCATTGTTAAAGCAGTAACTCTATCAACTACTATTTTCACTTGCAAACTTGGTAACCAAGGGATTCTCCCTCCCAGACCAGAAGACTGACATATCCACAGAGGTACTGGACCGGTTTGCAGGAGACTTGGCAACACAACAACATTCCCTGTATTCATGGCTTTACAGAAGTAAGCAATATCAGGGAACTATGCTGAAGCAGGTGGTAGAGCCAGTACTACGGATACCAAGGCAGGGGACGACAACCAGCAGACTCCACTTAGTACAACTCCTTTTCTGCTAGTGACAGACCCCTAGCAGAGAGCACACATTTAGCAAGGCAGATAAAGGCTCTGGATGTTGGATATCATACAAATTACAATATAGCAAATATTGGAAGCTACCCTAAAAACTGAACTTGGGTAAAGACCTCCATGTATTTATCAAGCGGCATCTAAAAATATTATCCCTGGCCCTAAGCATGCACCTGGAATGCAGTGGGACACAGAAATCACAGAACCAGTACGAGAATTAGATTAAAATAAACCCATACCCTAGAATTTAAATCCTTTTCTCCTGTCTGTTTTGGAGCCTTCTGGAGAAGCATTCACTTTTTTTTTCTCCTTTTTTTTTGAAACCACTAAATGAAGGCAGATTGTCTTCTGCTCTCACTTAACTCCTGTGGGAGACTGCTGAGAAAACAATGTAGGAATAAGCAACTGCAAGAGTTGGCAACATTATGTCAACTGTTTGCTCCTGGTATCTAAAATGTAACTTTTTGCACCTGGATTCCCCACTTTCAGTGTGCTGCACCTTGGCAAAATTAAATTCTGTTTTTCTCCACGTACCTTAGTCTACACAACCAACTCTTCTTCCTCCAGCAGGTGGAGATAAAAATACAATGAGAATTTTCAGACTTAAAATCACACTGTGCTCTACAACCCTGCAAAGACATGGACAGGATCAAAACTTACACTACTCAGATCTCACTGCTGCTCTATTGTCTCTTACCTTTATTTAGAGCTGTATAAAATTTTCATAGGTTAAAACACTACCTAGGCCTCAATGACACGTCTTGGCAAAGCATGACTTGAAAAACAGGGAAACTAATGTAATTTGTTAGTATGTCAAATGAGAAACTAACAAAATACACTGGCAAAACAAATTCCATGTTACTAAAAAAAACCCTGCCGCAAGCCACAGAGATAAAACACTAGAGAAGACAACATCAGGGCATCTCAGCTAAGCAAAGACCTCTCAGAGTTTCTGACTAGTCCAACACTTGTCTGCTTTTAAACAAAATTAACAGAACTTTTATTATCTTACAGACAATTTATCTCTTCCAAGTTCAGGCAAAAAGTAGGTGGAGACAGAGCTACTAGTTTCCCCACTACAGGAAGCTGCAGGCATTAGACTTTGGAGAGTCTATGTGGAGGGAAGCAGTTAGAAATGCAACAGCCACTGGGAAATGATTCAGTTGGTGCTTGTGGCTCAAAATCCTGACACTGATCTGCTACTTACACACTTCCTTGGATTGAACGTTTAGATGCTCTTTGCCTTCTTTCTTAGTGTTAAAGCTACATTACACACATTTTACAGGAGGAGACCATGACCCAGAGGTTTTGACTTGCCAGCTGTAACAACACAAACAAGGGGCAGACCCAGCATTTTGAACAAAGCACTCTCAGACTTCCAACCTCTGCCCACAAGCACATCTCCTCCTTAGACCATGCCTAGGCTCACTCCTTTGTGCTGTCCTGCATCCAAGTTTTAACATTCGAAAATCATGCTGAAAAATGCACCACTACAATTGTCCCCTCCAGGCTGAAACACAGATTGGAATCCCAGTTTGTTGTGCATGTGGATTATTGAGGGCTTGTGCACTTGACACACAACTAAGAAATGGTCGAAATTCTTACCAAGCTATTTAGATAAAGAAGATAGATACAAAACAGATTCCAAGGCCAAATGATGACTCACAGATCATCTGTGGTACTTAGCCATTCTGAATTAGGGGACAAGCGGATTTGGCCCCAAAGGATGTTTCAAGTTCCTGAGGATACTGGATGGTGACAGATAAACCAAACATCCTGCATCCTGTTGTATTTATCTGCAGTCTACCTTGTCAGCCTGGAAGGTCTTCTAGAGTTTCACAGAGTTCTCTATTTCATTTTAGCTACTACCCTGTGTAAGCATTATTTAACTAGCAGAGCAGGGGAATATGTAGACCTCTTCAGAAAAGAAACACAGCAAAGTAGAGGACAATGTAGGGCACCTCTCAACAGGCACTGGGAGGCTACTAGGTCACTAAATACTCATTGTAAATGTATGTGGCATGGCAGAAGATAAGAGAAAAAATGTGGCTGCCTTCCCAGTGACCTTATCAACTGACAGATGGGATAGCAGTTCACAGTTTCATACTTTGCTTTTCCTAACATGGATGCTGGGAGGGGAAGGGGGAGAATGAGCTTCCCAAATGAATCTGAAGCGATGTGAGGGACAACACGCTGAATGACATTCAGATGCACACAGGGTACAACCAGCCAGCACAAAACCCACCCCAAACGCAAATTCCTCAAAGCTATCCCAGTGTTTCTTAATCTCCCACACATGGGAAATCTGAATTTTGCTGTGATTCTCCAGTCAGAATACTTTAGTCACCATTATGCTCAAATTACTCCTTAGAGCAGCACTGCCCCTCAGCACTGTCGGGCAGTTGCCAGCTATGTGAACCAGGGCCTGTGAGGAAGCTGCTGCAGGAACTGCAAATTTCAGAAGAAGATTCATTTTTCTCCTCAGACTTTGGCAAGCTGGTCTCTGTTAACTCCACATCTGATCCAGGGAGGTGGCAGCAGGGCTTCCCTAGCTCCAGATTACTTCCAGGCCAGTGACCTTAAAGAGATGGGGTCCTCACAGATGATGGTACCAGAGGTTACATTAATCTGTAAAACTTAAGGAAATAGGGGAGAGGCACTTGCTAGAGATGACACACTAACATTACACTAAAAATCCAACTATTTTTCATGCTGCTAAGAAGCAACTCATTTTTTTCTATAAAAGACCAAAGGAAATTTGCTGGATTACTATTGGGAATATAAACGCATTTTCAAAGAAAACTAGGTATCAATCCCAGAAGCCATTTCCCATTTTGCATCCTTACCCATTGACATCTGCCTAATCTAGCAGCCAGTCTGGACTGACAGCCAGTGCTCTTCCATTACAGGCCGAGCAATCCCATAAACAGCTGGGTAACCAAGTGTAGCAAGTGCAGGACTAAGAAAGTGACAGGACCTGTTAGAGTAAGATTTGTTGAATGAAACGATATACTGCTGATGGCCCTTAATTCAAAGCCTCAATACTCATTTAGGTTTGATTGTCAGAATGTGCAGGAAATGTCGAGTCTAATTTTATCACTTACTACCCCACCAGAATCCCTGATCCTCTGTTTTCAACCACCACTGTGTAAGAGGCTTTGTTCGCTGCTTTACCTTAATTTTGAAAACTTACTGAGTTTGGCATTTGCATGAAGCCTGAACCTGACAGCTTGATTGCTGCCACCACCTCTTATTTTCTCTAGGAACAGAAACAGAATCTATCTCCAGCCCATGAGGCAGTTCTCCACATTGCCTCTTGGTTCACTTCCCCATGGAAAGGACATTCAAAAGCAGAGTAAATACAGGGTTTTGAGCCAAAAGCTGCATTAAGCATTAACAGCATTCCCCACAGAGATGTTTTACCACACTGTCTTTGAGACATCTCTGCACTTTTGATACAGAAACACTGAAGCTGTGTTGGTATCTCCAGCAGCAGAGATGTCAAGAGCATGAAACAGACACAGCTGCACCAGCTCCAATATTTGAAGCCTTAACTAGTAACCTAAAAATGCACTTTTCCCTTGCAGTCTACAAGCAAAGGTAAACTACAAATCTTTTCAGTCTACAAGTCAAGGCAAACTGTCAAGCAGCTCTGCTCTATGGCTGGTTGAAGGTTAAAGTGTAAACTCTGTGCCATGGTCTAAACCCAGCCAGCTACCAAACACCACGCAGGTGCTTGCTGGCTCCCCAGCCAGAGGGATGGGGGAAAGAATTGGAAGGGTAAAAGCTAGAAAAACTCATGGGTTAAGACAGTTTAATAGAGAAAACAAAAGCTGCACACACAAGCAAAGCAAAACAAGGAATTAATTCACTGCTTCCCATGGACAGGAGGTGTTCAGCATCTCCAGGAGAGCAGGGCCCATCACACATAATGGTTCCTTGGGAAGACAAACGCCATCACTCCAGATGTCCCCCCTTCTCCTTCTTTCTCCCACCTTATATACTGAGCATGTTGTCATATGGTATGGAATATCCCTTTGGTCAGTTTGGGTCACCTGTCCCAGCTGTGTCTCCTCCCAATCTCCCATGCATCCCCAACTTCCTTGCCAGTGTGGCAGTATGGAAAGCAGCAAATGCCTCGGCTCTGTGTGAGCTCTGCTCAGCAACAACAAAAACATCTCTGCATTATCAACTCTGTGTTCTGCACAAATCCTAAACACAGCCCCATACTAGCCACTGTGAAGATAGTTAACCCCACTTCAGCCCAAACCAGCACACTCTGCTTTGAACTCCCACTGCTGCAGAAAGGAAGTTTCTGATCACAAGCCTCCACTGTTATTCTCTGAACTACACTAACTCTGGCCCAATTCTCAAAACACAGAAACACAGGCAGTGCTTGTAGAAATATGAAATACTTGAGCCTGCACAGTGCAGGCTTCCAGAAAAGCCTGTTATCTAGCAGCTGCATCAGGAGTGAAAACCCCTCATGTTTAAGTAGAAGGAAGGGAAAGTCCTGGAGTCTTTTGCTAAGGAGCCACCGCCACAACTGCAAGCAGCACTTGTGGTATTGGAGGCATCAGTCTGGGCAAGAGGCCTCCAACCTCTAACAGGACATGGACTGGATTGAATGGGAAACAATGAAGTCCAAGGCAACCACAGTCTCCTTGGTTAAAGCAAGGAAGATGAAAAGCCTATGTAAGTATCTAGGACGAGGCAGAGCACCCAAACTCTCACCCTCCACCACCGTCCCCAGCTCAGCAAACCCTCCAGGGCAGGCTGCCAAGTCTTTAAGCCCCACTGCCAGGAAGCTGAGAACTCAAGCTAATAAGAAACTGGACAGTTTTTCAATAAAATACCTTGCTAAAACTAGGACACTTCTGCAATTTTGCAGAGGATGCTGAATCAGCACAGAACATCCTTGCAGGGGATATGTCTCCCCAGACCACTGGCACACTTAGTAAATCCCAGACAGTTAGCTGAGGAGACACAGAGATTTCCCTCAATATAAGGCACTTTTAAAAGGCAAAGACATGAAAACTACTTGGGATTAGCACTGCTCTAGAGAATGAGATCATACTGTCTCTGCTCCCAAATTAGACCTGTTGCTTTAAGCACTACAGCTAAACTCATTACATATTCTTACAGCAATATGCTATTAATATCAGATGCAAACAGATAGCCTTGCCCTGCACAACAATGTGGTTTTTTCCATTTAAAAATATTAATCTCTCTGTAATGCAGAAAATTTTAACAGTTTTAAAGCATTCTTGAAGTGTCATGAAAAAGGCAACATAACTAATCAGAAACAGCAAAAAGGAAACAAGATTAAGATATTGCAATTCAATTTCCTAGAAAATAATGTGCCACCAGCTGTGTAAACCTTCTTGTAGCTAAAATAAATACTCTGAAAACAAACAGGCAGTTGATTTACACTGTAGCATGTCTCCTCAGCAGTCAGGCCTCCCAAGGAAGTTAGCAAGTTGTCTCAGACTGAACTAGGGCTTTAAAAGATGGCCACATAACCAACTGATTTGATGAGCAGCATTCTGAGCCATCTTTAATTTTTATGTTCAACTCATTAACTCTGAGCTCCTGCTGACACAGCCAGTACTCCCTCCACACGTATTATATGGTCCCTGAACGCAACAAACAACCAGCACAGCATGCACTATTCTTCTGGCATACTAGACAAGACACATGCCAGCTCTAGCAGCTGGACACTTTGATTTCCTCTCCCAGAGAAAGGGGCCAAGGCCTACCTGCTGATTCCACTGTGCACTGTGCATTCTGTAGAGTTTCCTCTTCTGGAAGCTATCAGTTGGCTTTGTTCGGGCACATGAGTATGCATTAGTCATGGAGACAGATCCTAGTCTCGTGCTGTCTCTTCTTCTTTCCTCAATGTTGTCAAGACCCATCATCAAGCGCCTGGAAGCGGATAAGTCTAGGGTGTCCGGAGGCCTGCAATTTCATGATTAATGGGGGGAGGAAATACAAGAAGTTAAATATGCTCCACATGCACAGGCACTGATTAACATTTGCTACCCAATTCCATGAGAATTTTATAAACACTCAAATGTTTTAGCACACTTTCAGGAAACCATGTATGTGCTTTGTTTGCTTGTTGCTTAATTCTACGTTAGGTCAGGAAAGGAAGTTTCTTGACCACCTTTCTGCTCATGGAAACAAATGGCACAATGGAGTTACGCCCTTGAGCATATAATGGGTTTTGGTTTCTCCCAGATTCAAGAACCCTCTTTCTATCACTTTTAACACCTATGAGTTTTAAGTTACAATTAGTATTTCCTTTCCAACCGATATTCCATCCAAGACAGCAGTCACGCTAACACAGAGGAGAGCTAGAGTCCTGCTCTAATACTTTCAGGATTTTCTAGTTTTGCTCAAGAACTGAAACCTAAGTAAAGCTTTATAAAGCAGTGACCATTCCGTGTAGGGGTTGCAACTACCTGTGAAGCATTTGTATCAAAATTAGGAACTCTACACACTTCAACTGTGTAGAGTCAAGGTGAAGTGCCAAGATGTGGCCAAGAGCAGTAGAACAACCTCACACCACTCTCCCCAGTCCCTGTCTGCTCACCAGAACAGGCAACACCACAACGAAAGCATTCAGAACACTCTCTCATTTGGGTGGGAATGACTCAATTGGAAGAATGCACTTCCCTTTTATAGGTATTCTTGATTTTATTTTGTTGCTGTAGCAACATCTGCCTGCAAAGTTGAAGGCTTGCTGCAAAGATCACTCAAGTGTGCATTTGTTTTTACAGTACTGAAGACCTTGATCACAACTCTAAACTACCCAAGGACTGCAAGTATACAAGATATTTTGGCCTTGCTTCATAACAGGTCATCTATCTGCACAAATGATTATTCTGTCTTATGACAAGTCACAGCTTTATTAGTAAACTTTTAACAATAAAACATGAAAAAGAATTTATTACAAGGCCATTTATAAATCTTTTTTTTGACAAGTGGTATTCTTCTTACAGGACAGTTTTATTAAATAGAAGGGCTGGTTCTGGAAGTGTCATTAAACACCATCCCATGCTGTGCTGGCGTGGTAACAAGCTTTATGGGCTTGAATTTGAGTTGCCCTCCTGACATGTCAGAACAATCCAATAAGCAACACACACTCATGAAAAAAAATGTGTTAATTAATAGAGAGATGGTACAAAATATTTAGAGAAACCTATCAGTAAGTGTCAAGAAAAAGCCCAAATACTGAAGCATGACATTCTTCACATTAACACTGCATTTTTACAGCTTGAGAAAGGCATAGAAGGTTTACAGTCCAATGCTTCGAAAACTTGCTCTGAATTCTCAAACACGTTTTCTCTCTAACTATCCACCTTAAAGTTAGACGGTCCCAAGCTCAACTTCTAGACTTCCACATACCTCCTCTTACGTGAGTGACAACCTGGACAAGTAAATTAAAACAAAAAGGTCCTCACTTTGGCTCCTCAACTTCTGGGATACCTGCCTTTGTTCTGGTAGTTTACCCAGTCTTTGGCAATCTCTCTTCAGTGCCTGCCAACTGCTCTGTCTACACCTCTATGCCTTGCAGCAATGCATAGCTCCATTCCCAGACGATGCAGAGATCTCAGCTGCATAGCCTGGAGAGCTCCAGTACATAGCAGTATGGTCTTCCTGCCACTTGTGTGAACAGGCTTCCCAAACAAGGTTTGAGTTACCCATTTATTTTGATCTTAGTTTGGGTGGTTTTCAAAATGTCATTCTACAGAAGAGCAAAGTGAACCATTGCCAGATGTGAAAGCAAGCCAAGAATTTGCTGTAACACTCCTTTCAGAGCTCACAGGTTGGCTTTTCTTGCTCTTGACCTTACTCCCAGATGCACACCTGCACAGCAAGCCACCACACCATTTGCACTGAAGTAATCAACGCTTTCCTTCCTCTCCCCTCATGAGAGTGGCCATCATTAGCTGAGGGAACTGCTTCCAAGAACATCTACCTTTATGCAATGCTTCTGGCTAGCCTTGGCAGCCAGATTCGATTGAACAAAAAAAAGCTACACAGAACAAGGAAGACACTAAGGTAATTAGCCCCAGAGAAATGGCAATTAGAGGTTACCCACATTCAGTCAACCAAAACTGTACATGCACCTCCACTTCTGCTGCGTACAGCTCAAGGAACCAATTATACTGCAACCCCATGGTTACCAACCCCAAAGCATTTCATGCTTAGACCTACTTTAAACGTGGACTATCATCCCTTTTTTCCCCTCTCAAAAACTAAAAAAAACCCCTTACTTTCCATTCAATTTTGATTTCTGCTTTCTGAAGTACTGAGTGCAGAGTGAGCTCTAGAAAAAGCAAGGGGAGAAGCAGCCAAGAATTAAGTTAACTGCAGCATGTAACTGTCTCAATTAATTGGGCACAAAGCTACTACACCAACAAAATACCACCAAAAAAAATCTGAAAGCCACTCAAAAAACCCCAAGAAGTCGGAGGCAGTCAATTTCTCCTCAGGATTCTCACAATAACCACCCTACGTCATGCTTAATTACCATCTTTAATGAACAGGATTTATTTACAGATTTCAAAACACTTCGTAAGCATTGAAAAATTAAGTCATTAACTCAGTTTTAAGAGGACATCTAGAAAGCTCTCAAGTCTCTCAGACTCCTTTCCAACACCTAACTTCTCAAACTCCAGTCTAGAGCTACAGCACTGAGAAAAATCTTCCAACTCCTACTATCCTTCTTTGGACTTTTATAGGTCATGAGTAGAAAACAACCAGCCTTAGAGAGAGTGGTCCATGAGCAAACAACTGTGATATTCATGAAATGGAATGAAGGCTGATTTTGGACAGTGTCTAATAAATCAGATGAGAACTGGCTTGAAGTTACATCATTAGAGTGTCTCACCATGAAGTCAACCTCGTACACTCCTAAAAACATTTTTTAAAGCAGGAACTCTTCCTCATCTGTTTCATGACAAAGTCACAGATTCAAGACACAGCCTAAACCACTCTCTTCGTCCACACAACCACCTCTATTAGCAGCTCCTATTTCAAGGCTGGTTTTATTACAAAACGCAGACGAGTCTTACATTATCTGTAAACAACTGATACATCTGGAGCATGGATATGGCATGGCATGACGCCTTCATCCTTAAATTGAGGGCAGAGCCACACGAGTGTTGTGGAACAGAAGGCAGCCAAAGCTCCTGCCCATCCAAGCTGCTCATTATAATCTCCTTGTGGAAGGCTGCAGCCTCTGCAGCAAAGCTGCTGCTGAAGCAGACAGTGTGGCCAGTGCTTCCTGAAGTCAGGAGCCAGGGAATTACGTCCTGCTGCACACTGCCATGAACATGCCAGCTCTAGTTGGAAACAGTTTCTTCATCCACCTGATCTTAACTGAGACCTGTGAACAACAGCAACCCCCCCATTCTCAAAAATCTCACCACCAGTATCTCAGGAGAAATACCCAACCCACTTTTGGTCTTCCATCAAACAGGACTGTAGTCAATTACCTTAATGCTGTTTTGAGACTCAGATCTATTACAGCTGCACTGCATTTACAATCTTCACATGCAAGATGGAATTACCAAGTAGTATGGACCTAATTTTGAGAAACATTGTTCTACAATATTAATTTCAAGCTCCAGTCACCCTGGAAGGTTTATCCACCCACAACAAAACACCTCAAATACTTCTATGACATCTTTAAGAACAACAACACAAAAACCTACTAATTGCAACATTGCAAGCAAGACTTGACTTCTCCTGAAGCCTGCAGAAAGCAGTTCTCTTGTCCTGATTTAATACTCTAATGACTGTTAGTTTCATCTATATAACTTCACCAAAAGTTAGGCTCAAAAACCCATACTGTCACCTACCTCAAGGCAAAGCCCTCCATCATGTATCTCTTTAAAGAAGTTGGAGACATATCGGGTGGAGGTGCTAAGCTCCTCAAGACTTCAGCAATTGCTGAGCTCTGGAAAAAGATTTAAAAAAATAAAAGGTAGTCAGACTTTTATCCAGACTTAACAGCTCAAAGGTCCCAGGGTTTTGCTGTTTTCCTGCTTAGGATTCCAGTCACATACATCATGGAATAATCATATTCAGCTTCTTCTTGCGAATAATCAAGTGTGGCATTGGGTTTTCTTCTACAATTACTACATTCAACCATACAAAAGCCTCCAACAAAACATCAACAAAACATGAACACAACTCTGGACAACCTGCCAAGGACATTGTTTATAGATCTGAGTAAGTAGTACACAAAACACATTAGTGATCTTAGTATTGTGAGCAAAGGTTTTTAAAAGGGAAAAAGAAACCAGAACACTTTACAGCTGATGTTACAACAGCTGCAGCCCAGAGCTGCTAACTGGCCATTCGACAAGCACTTCAACAGGGGGAAAAAAAGGTCAACTGTCTACTCATTGTACATTTTGTTCACTCAAACTGTTTTTGTTCTTAAAAGAATCCTCTTCATTGCTCACTGCACTTTGACGAAGGTGTTTTTATAAAGGCAGTGTAACTGCATGAGGACTATTGCAACCACACACAGAATGGATAAAATCTTCTGGTATCCTCAAAAACAGCCCCAAGAGGCTCCTCACCACACCAAAACGTTCAGAACGGCCCCAAAATGAATGCAGCCAATCTGTTAACATTAAGAATTACTCCTTGCAGAACAATGAATCGTGGATTGAGTCCAGATAACATTTCACAATGTTTTTTTTGTTTTAAATGTCAGACCTTAAAGTGTATTGACAATAAATGTAGCTTCCTTAGGAGAAACTCTATTCTGCACACTAAACAGAAATTAAATGTATCTGAAACAGCAGATTTCTTTTTGTTTTTATAAAAACTCTTACATTACTTTGTCAGATTTCCATTCAGGGCTAAGAATGTTTAAAACATAAATCACTAAAGGTTACTCGGTAACTTTTCTGCACATTTTTATTTTACTTTTACATTTATGCAGAAAGAGAATTTTTTTCATTTTTCCTACAACTCACATATTTTCTGTGGATGTTTAAGTGATGCAGTTGAGTAAAAATGTCACATCAGAATAAAATATTCATGGATGGATATTAAAGCAGAGAAATAGCAACTCAATTACAAAAGTTCTGGCCATAGCAAACAAGATGTCAGTAAAGTATTTAGTAGACTGATTTAACGATATCATCAGAATTCAATCTGTAAGGACCAAAGTTCTCTACTGAATATAAAAGCACCAAAACAATGGCAGACATCCAAACGACAAGGAAAAACATACATGTGTTTAGAAACTTGCAGAGCTATGAAAAGGACTTGAAAACATTCTTAATAAAGATTGCCAGCCTCAGTGACTTTTAACCTATCAGAATTCTTTTCTTGTTCACATTTAACAGCAGACTGAAGAATTCTGTGGATGTACTTAAGCCTAATGCACTGCTGAACAACAAGAAACTCAGACCTGCAGAGTTAAGGTTGATTTACAGAACTGGTGGTCATAAAGGGAACCAAACCCTATGATTTTTATGGTGTAAAGGGAAGAAATCTGATGTGATCTGTGAGATGTGTTAGGTGAAGAACACCTTTACTTCCAAGTAATCTTTAGCTCATCAAAGTTCTTGGACCAAGTTTGTGGCTATGCAGGGACCAGGAAACACACTGTTATCACTTTAGTTGCCAAATGTCTTACTGAAAAGCATGTTTAGCTCCCTAAGCACCACTTAAAGAGGTGACATTCACCACATGCTAAAAACACTCTCTGCTTTACCTTATGTATCATCTTACCTAGCCAACACTGAGCATATTAATTCCCTGTTCCACTGCTTCCTCACTCCTGTCTTTGGTGGATAACATCTATCAGATAGGGGAAGCACTAAAAGAACAGGAAAGTACAACTATCAAATAAGAAAAATTGGCACAGAGATTCAGGAAGAGGCACTGGCATCTAAAGCTGCTTTTACCCATTTAAAAAAACGTGTGTGTGACCATGACTTTGTGGCAGAGCAATATATTAACACCTCACAGTGCCTTTGACACCTTTGCTTTATGCTAACTGCATAAATTCAATGTGAAATCAAATTTCCTGTATCTCCTTCAGCAATGGGATCCTACCACGTTCTTTATGTACTTTCTAGCAAAAGAAAACCCGGTTGGTGGCTACATCTTATTTCCTGGAATTAACCTTGAGAAGGGCTTTTCTGAACACCATGAAGTGGAACTCTGCTCACAACTACACTTACACTGTGCCTGGGAAGTACCTGAATTCCTCAGACTCAAATCCCTGACAGGAGGCTGTGGCTGCCCCAACCCTGGCAGTGTTCAAGGCCAGGTTGGATTAAGCCTTGAGCAACCTGATCTAGTGGGAGGTGTCCCTGCCCAGGGCAGAGGGTTGGGACTAGATGATCTCTAAAGTCCATTCCAACTGCTTAACATCCTATGAAACTATGAACCAGAGTCCTGTGACACTTGCAAAGCCAAATTAACAATTATATTCTGTTGGGACTTTTAAATTATTTCAAGTTCAATGTATCTCTACTGCCAGCTGTACTCTTCCATCTCATGTCAGCATTTCCTGAAACAACCTGTGGTGACTCCATACTGATCCTGAGTGGAAAGCAGAGGCAGGTTTGTGGATAGCACTTGAAAGTCAGTATGTGGTCTCTTGGATGGAAACAAAGTGCTAACACAGACGCACCAGAAATAAAAGCTTATTTTGTAAAACTGGTGTGCAATAGAGTTATTCATGCCCAACAATTCATCAGTACCCACTTCCCAGACTGCAAAATATCTTCCTTTTGGGAAGCCATCACCATGGAACCTGCCCTGTTTCTGCAGTCAGTCATTTGGCTCCACTGACTGCTCAGTTTTTGTTTGACTTTACCTGTCCTCCAGCTTCTTCTCGGTGCATGGTAGGGCTGTTGGGTGGCATTCCCAAGCTGGGCTCCGGCAAGTAATCCTGTCTCTCAACGGTAAGTTGTGAATTCCATGCGGTGTTTAAAAAAGCTTCTTGGTTTGTCGAATGCATTTGCTTCATCCAAATGTCATTTGGAAATGCGAATTCTTTTACGAACGCCATCCCCTAGACAACAGCAATTGAACACAGTTGGTTGACAATGGATTAACACTCCTAAATAATTTTTAAGGGGCAGTCAAACCCGGCACATCCCTCTTAAATCTTCCCAACAACTTTGCAGCACTTCAACTGGATTCTAAATACACTTCACAGCTAAAACATAGAAATGATAGGCATTTTCATTCAGGAAAAGCTCCATCACTTATGCTACTCCTTATAACAGCAATCACTGCAGTGTTTTACCATGGCGCAAACATCTGTGCCAAAATTCAAATCAGAAATTCATACTTACTAGAGTATAATATTATCATTTGCCCATTGATCTACAGTGAGGTTTTTCTGTACAAAACCACCACCCTTTGATTTGAAGTTGTCCTAAGCAAAACATCAAGGCAGTTGATTTTTAAGCAGCAGAGATGTGTACAATTCAAAACAAAAGTCTTTTACAATTGAGTAATTTATTTTTTCTAAAGGTGAACATTTTGAGAGTTTCATATAATTGGAGGTAAGTACCCTAAACATTCTGGTAATCTCACTGCTTTCCAAGACAGATCTGCACAAATGTGGTATCAGACATGGTGTATTGTCTAGAAAGCCACACAGTAAGATAAATATAACCTGATATGGTAGGGAAATAACAGAGTTTCATAAATGGAACTAGGAAAATAATACCCCTATTGTGTTTTCCACAGGACAGGTAAGAAAAACAGAAGTGTCAAGTACAATCCAAGGTAATGCCTCAGTTAGTTTGTTTTAAGAACTTAAAATATTACATAAAATAGAAGCAAAAATAACTTTGTAATAGTCAAAAACGGTCCTCAAATAGTCCCTTAATTTGCCATTATCTTGAGCAAATAAATGTAACACTCAGAAAAGGCTATCAAACCTCTGCAGGCTTTTTCCAAAGAGAAGGAAAAGAACTTTGTTGCTTTTAAGTACTATTACTCAAATACCAAGCATATCTTGAAAGAATGAGACCACCCAATTACATGGTCTCAAATTTGTCTTTCTAATGAGAATATTCCACTAAAACCAAGGAACACTGTCACAATATGGACACGAGGAAGTCCTATCATCATTTATTCAAGCGAGACAGACTTCACCAAGGTTGTGGCTGTGGAAAACTAACAATACTGTAGTTGAGTAAAACTACCTTGACTCCTGCCTCAGCAGCAGCTTGCCCAAAAACATGAAAGCAAGTTTCAAAGAGACTTCAAAGGGGAGACTAGGAGAAAACATGAAATTGTCCCGTTCTCACTGTGTCTCTAACTTATTCCCTTGTTTGAGTTACAAATTCAAAGCTGAGAACAAATATAATCCCTAAAAACAAATATAGGTTCTTGAAAATTTGCTTTAACACCCAAAAGAAGCACAGAGATTCTTAATGTCCCTCAAGCCAGTGCTAGATTTTCCACATAGCTCATCATCTGTGCTTTTCCATTTACAGGAGATGGACACAAATCCAGACAGTATCATACTACAGTCGGTAGGCCACCAACAGCTACAAAGTGGGCAGTATGTTCCAGGGAATTCAATCCTGTGCCACAACAGGAGGACAAGGAGCTCAACTGCTTTAGATTCCTTTAGAATTTACAATCTTCAGGTCTTTTTAGTAAAAGAATGATAGGTCATGAGCACAGAGAGCCTAAAAAAGTCTGAAAGCCAAATTCTGAGGTCAGAGGAACAGGAAGACACACATGAAAAGTGGTGAAAAGAGGGATACACACACACACATGTGTCCTTCCACTGGAATGTTTACCAAGCATGGGAAGAGGAAAGCAGAAAAGGAAGAGGCAAACTGACAGACTGTATGCAAAGGGAGAGATGGAATAGGCACGGAAGAAAAGAGGAGGAGTAAAGAATCAGAAGACTAATACTGACTGTACAGGAATTTTAAGTTAAGTGGGTCACAACTAGCAGGCTTGGGCAATGACAGCCCTCCCCCATACATGGAATTGTTTTGGTTTGCAGATACACGCTTTTTTAAATGGAAGGACTCTCAAAGATGCAGAGCTGCTCCTTCTGTGTGCATAGAAATGGCAAAGGCACAATGCAATAGGCCAGGAAACAGCCCACAAGTTACTCATCTCCCTTCCTATTGCGTTATGGTGCTCGAGGAGTGGCATTTTGCTTGAAATCATTGTTCACTGGCTATGAATCACATTTTTTCCACTCAAAACACATGAAAACCACTCTGAAACCATTAAACACAGCATACAAATTCTAATGATATTGTGTAACTCCTTTGCAGCCACTAAATGAAAACAAAGAGCTCTTCTATCAGCCCACATGTCCTTCCATAGCTGCGGCACCGGGGTACTATAAACATGTAGACAAAGAACTCCCAGCTGAGGAAAATAGGTGCCTACCTTCACTATGGGACACAATGCCAAATGCTAAATACCACAGCTGGGAAGGAAGCTTGGGAATGAAGCTGGGAATGAAGGGGCATGAAGCTTGCAAAAAGGAGTATCACTAAAATTCCTCACCAGGAAGATGACTAGGCTCCAAGCCAACATACCACCTCATGCAAGAAAACGCATGACTAAAATAATGCTGTTCCTCTTATTTCTGATATTTATTTCTCCATCTTCTGTAGCTCCTACCCTACAGGCTGACAGCTTATGGGTGTAAGAGTGTGCATGTACCTGGTGTTTAGGACAACACTAAGACACAGGCATTCTCACCCCTCACCAAAAAAAAGAATCTCCTTTCACTCCTGTGGGCACAGAGGCAGCACAGATCCTCAAACAAAGGCTCTACAATTCTTTCGTAAAGAAAAACCTGACTGGGGAAAAGCTGGATATGAAAAGAAGAACTCTGAGGGCAAAGGAGAAGAGGGAATAATTTTCTTTGTGTGTTCAGAAGGAAATGCTCTCTGGAGTGATTTTCCTCTCCTTTCAAACTCCCTCTAGGTCTCATGTTCAGTCACACAAACTGTAAAGCATCTTCTGGTTCCTCTCAATCTGTGCTTATCTGACCTCAGCACAGGCCAGACAGCCTACATGAGTCTCATCAATGGAGAGTCAAAGAGCCCTCCCCTAAAACCCCTCACTATCACACACACTTACACCACCAGAATTATCACAGGTTTGGCATCTTGTACATAAGAATGACCTGAGAACCCATTAAATTGATAGCTAGATTACTAATGTTTTAGGAATGTCACTTTCCCACTGTCTAGCCAGTTCGATTTACAAAAACTAGTACATGAGTTACACACATGGAATTTTAGTAATAATTAAATCCTTGACCTGTTCAAAGTGCTGTACAAACATTAACCAGCTAATCCTCAGAATAAACATGCACCGCAAGGAACCAAAAAACCCACCCTGGAAGCCCATAACACAAAAATGAATAACCAACCCTCACATCTGAAAACTGAATCTTGCCTCTTCTGCAGAGGGAAAAACTGATGTGATAAATGAGTACTTTGTGCTGGCCCGAGAGCCACTCACGAAGTCACTAACTATCACAGATAGGAAGATAAGAGTTCCCAAACCCAAGGCCTATACCAGTGCCTTTTGGGCACAATACTTTTTAGCTCGTGATGTCTTTCCCATTAAACGTTGCATGCAACAGCCTGCACAGACATAAGAAGTCTAGAGCAAAGCAAACAGCAACAACGAGGAACCAAATAAATAAATATTACAAGAAACACTGTCAAAAGATGATTTGAAAAGCCCATTTGTGAGCTTACAGACAATACCTTGGTGGCACGCAACTGTCTGTGAAGGTCAGTTAGTTGTTGGATTTTGTATTCTAGTTCTGAAATCTGGGCTTGAAGCCAGGTCCAACGGCTGCCAATTCTAGCTCTGTCTGCAAGCCACTTCCATTCAGAAGTATAGCTGCTGTGAAGACAAAATGCTGGTTAGTCCAAAAATAAAGGTAACCACATTTGCACAAGAACATTTTTGACAGCTGCTCTGCCTCATGTTGCAAGTATCTCAGCTGCTTTCAAAAGATATGTGGTTATACCCACCCAGTTTCACATCAGCTTATTTCTGTGACAACAGAACTTGCCCAAACCAGTACAATGCATGTTCACTGGCTATTCCCAGACTAAGCTAGTTTTCTGTTCTGGATTATAAAACCCAGAGCTGGATAAACTACCAAACTCTATCAGTTAAGGCTGATTACGTATGTGTAAAGAATTCCAGTAACTCCACCAGCAAGAATCCAAACTCTTACATCACAATTCCTCCCACAAGCTTTCACAAATATTGTTCACTAACAACTGGAATCTAATAAAACACCAACCAGCAATGACCAGCTAGGTATCAGGTCACTGCCCAAAAACCCAATGAAGTAGTTTACATTTCTTTCACTCAAGCTATTTTTTAAACATAGCTGTGTCAGTGTAGTATAGTCAGTCACTCTCACTGTTTAAAACGGGTGTATTTCCTAAGACTAAAGTATGTCTCCTTGACATTGTGATTAGCTTAATTTTAGTACGCTAAATTCATCACTGATATCAGCAACCATTACTCAGCCTACATATTAAACGAATGACATAACGGTACCACTCAACAATCAGTGTTCAGGAAGTTTAAGCAACAAAGACAACACAATGCAGCATTTTAGTACACAACGTCCACTACTATCCTACCATTAACTGAAGTTGTTTATTTACTTACAGAAAATGAGTAGTGTTTTTTCCCCCCACTAAAATTCTCAAGTAGTTTGCCACAGCTAACTTAAAAGAACTGTAAAAAAAAGTAAATTCAAACTTCTGGAAAATTAGTATTTTTACCCCAGTTATTGGGCTAACTACTGGATCCAAATCCTGGATGACACTGTATGTATGTTTTACACAGGCAGAATAGATGATCTGTTCCCTGGGCAATGAAGAGCACTGAAGTATCACAAAAGATATCAGAGAAAGTAGATGCCAGTGAACTGGCAGAGGAACATCACACAAGTGTAATTGCTTCATGCAGAATTTTGTGTCAAGAGCCTCAAAACCAAAGAAAGGTAATACATCACCCTGCAGCAGATGCTAGACATGCCCTGATATGAGCAGAGAATCACCAAATTTGAGAACCCTAATATTTTCAGTGCAAAGATTATAAAATGTAACTCAAAACTTCAGAACTTTCAGTCTACTTCAGCTGTCATAAACAGCCAGAACAGACACAGCCTCCAATTGGTTACCTCTAAAAAACATAACTTCCCCTCTTTTTAACATAAATTATCCTCCCACATAATTTACCACCAGCTCAAACTCTTTCCTACACAGACAAAATGAACATATGGAATTCGACAGGAGATTGAAATGTCCTGTTTAAATCCAAATTCTACATGGAAGCAATATGGATTACCATCAAAAAGACACTCAACTCTATATGCATGTATCATAGTAAGTTGCTTGCATTTCACATATTCTACTAGTGATTTTCTCTGAGGAAAAAAGGCATGTGAAGTCATCTTGTGAATATCTATTTTTCTGACAACTCCTTCTTATTTCTCTTTGTTTTCCCATTATTACCAGGACACCATAAATGGTCCTGGTTACTTATGCTTTAACCAGGTCTTCTTGACAAGAACTTCTGACTGACAGCTCTTGCACATTTAGGCTCCTGGAAGTCATAAAATACACATTCTGCAGGGAAAG